GGAGGGGGGGGGCGATGCCGTGGGTGGTTAATGTTTCCCTGACTCCATCTATCTAATGACAAGAACAAAAAAAAGGAAAGCGACTCCTTTCTTTCAGTTTGCTAGATTGCTATGTCCGGTGTAACCTACTTTTAGTCAATGACAATTTGTAGGTATTTTTACGTCCCCATCTACACAATTTAGATCATTTATTAAATTAGGAGGCGGACTTCCAACCGTTCCTGTCACGGCTAACCCGGGCTGTGAGGGATAAAGCATCCGAGCAGAAAGACGTCGATAGAAAATATGTTCACCCCACTTGGGAATCGAACTCGGGTTTCCTGTGTGCGTCAGCGAAGCACCTGACCGCTACACCACATACGCCATACAGTCATCTATATATCTAGACATTATTAGTGAAAGTTCTTCACTTTCGCCGCCTAAAACTTCGGAACCACTAATTGAATTTCGAATTTGAAAAAGTTAACGGTGGTTCAGAATCATTTAAAGGGTGCACAATTTAACTGAGGAGTCTGAAGTCATTTAAGTTTTTCATTAGTTTCGTTTAGATCTATTCTTGGGAAGATCCGTCTTCTAAGACGCCATTGTAATCAAGTGAGACTTCCATTCACAAGGAGTGCGCGCACTGCTCCCACACCTTTGAAATTCTGGAGTGTACAACCACGAAAGCGGAATAGAGAATCAATCTATGCATCTCTATATCTAGACCTTCTAAGTTTTTGCGTCTCTCAAAATTTATTGCTCCATTCCAGTAGAGTGTAAATATAGTAGGCCAATGACTTTCAGTTGATGTTAATACGCCGATCATTCCTTTCATCGAAATCGTCACTTTGGACGCCTAAAACTTCCAAACCACTTAACTTTCGAATTAAAAAAATATTTACGCTGGTTCAGAATCAGTTAAAGGATGCACAGTTATATTAAGGAGCCTGAAGTCACAGTAGTTTAATTTTGTTTTTCATTATTTTTGTTTAGATCTAATCTTGGGAAAGTCCATCTTCTTAGACGCCATTGCAAACAAGTGAGGCTTCCGTTCACATGCAGTGCACACTGGTCCTACAATGACTTGACGATCGATTCTTTTGAGTCCGTTTATCGAACGGGTACCCAGCTAGTTAACAATATGTGTAGAGCTTCCAAGCTCTGGGAATTGAAAAAAGGGAAGCCTTATTTTCAACATGAGTCAGATATTATCTTGACCGGACAAAATAAGGTTCAAGGGAAGTTGTCGTTTATTTACTCGACGGTTTTCTGGGCCACTACTCAGTACAAGAACAAAACCAAGTAACAAAGCATGGAACTGGTGAATCGTAGCTTCACATTATAAAGTTAATCTGATTTTTTTTTACCTAGGACGTTCCCTGTAAATTAGAGATGGTTGGCTGCTTCCCAGTGTCTTGTCTCTTTGATACGGGGTGCCGTCACGATCGGTTCAGTTCGGTAGGCTAGGCTGGCCAGATTGAGGGCCCAAAGCGACCATCGTGGCACAAACCAATCGCCATATCCGCAGCCTCAGAAACAAACACGTTTGGTTTTCAGGTCGCGAATTGGGCGATCGGTTGACGATTGGTTTGTCGATCTCCCAAAGGGCACTGGGTATGACCAGTGAAACAAAACCAATCTCTCACCACCCGCTGCGCACGGAGAGTGGAAAAGAAAACTCGAAACGGAGGGGGAGAAGGATTATTAATATTATTTTATATCATTTCATATTATTTCTACTACCAAACTACCCTCGACCCGTCCCTGTAGAACAACGCTATACTGCGAGATGAATCCTAGAAGAGATAGATAGATAGATAGATAGATAGATAGATAGATAGATAGATAGATAGATAGATTAGGACTCACTTTGCTCTAGTCGAAAATCCTAACAGTGGCATTACGGACGCTAGTAATGGGAAAGAGATTAGAGGGCGCATGAATAATAAAATTGAATGAGCGATGGAATGGGTGGGTGAGTGAACGAGTCTGTAGGGAGTCAGATGGGTACGTCTTTCTTAAAGGAAAAGGATACTGATATTTCCAAGATTTCTCATCATATAACTAAAATTACCTCCCTACCTGAATATGCCCATGTGTGTAGAAGATGACTTATCGCTTAAGCAGCAACAAAATCCATGTCTGACATTGACTTATCTGGGGAAAACCGTTCCACTTTCGAATATTCATCAAAGAGAAAGTGACCGTGGTAAAAACCGAGACTATGTGGCTGATATTTTCATATCGCCAAATCTGATTGGCTACATATGCCTAGATGAGCCAATGGACTGGCTCTATGCTCTTGACTAGGTTGTGGAATTAATGGATTAACAACAATGGCAAAACATTTAGTAAAAAGGTGTGCGCAGGGGAAACCGGTGTGAGAAAAAAAAGTCAAGGCTCAAAGGGATAAGTGTTATTAACTGGTGGATGAGCAGAAAGAGGGAGAGAATGAAGAAAAGGAGAAGTACGAAAATCTAATGAAAAGGAGAAGAACGAAAAACATTCTAAAGTAAAAACATAACAGACAAAGATCAAAAGAAGCAAAGAAATTCTGAAAGAAATTGTATGATAATGGGAAAATGGTGAATAATGAAGAAGAAAATAGGTAAAAAAGAGAACAATGAGGGATGAAGATGCAAGAATGGAGAAGAACGGGGTTAATGGAGTAAATGGTAGGAAAGGGCGGGGTTTGTAAGAAACGGATTCTCTTATGAGATTTTCTTCAGAGATTTTCTTCAGAGATTTTGTTGTTGTTGTTTTGTTTTGTTTTGTTTTTGTTTTGTTTGTGTTTTTGTTTTTGTTTTTTTGGGGGGCAATAATTATTTGCCGTCGTGTACAGAAGAAGATGATTTTTAAAAATCAAATTCCTTTCCTCTCCTCTCTTCTATCTCCC